GGTTGCTCCGCCATCCGCCTTTGTCACAACAAATTCGGCTTCTACTTTTCTGGGACGTCTGCTGGTCGTGTGAAGCAGTAATTGCCCCCTAATCTTCCAACCAGACTCCTGCAACACAAACATGGAGAGCTCCTCCTGTAGGCCCTTTGTTTTAGCTTCTCAGAGCTGGAGTGAATTAAGGATTCTGCCTGCTCTTATTGTTGTCATAATTATTGTTTAGTGGCGCATCCTAGTGGTCCTGCGGCCGGATGGGGCTGCCCCCTCCGATCCCGGCTCCCCTGTCGAGCCCCAGTGCCAAAGTACAAATGTAGAACATAAATCGCGCGCACAAACGAATGGCCGGGAATTAAAGAGCAGAGATATCGAATTACACACCTGACGACGGACCCGAAGCCTGGAGGATGAGGCGGAGAGCCAGACAAAGCTAAGCCATCGTATTTTATGTGAACTTTCTTCGGGAGTTTGGGACTGCCTCCCTGCCTCTTTGCCCTTCAGCCTGGAATCACCTGAAACTGGCTGGACCTGGCTGGCTGCAGTGCATCCTCCTTTTTCAGGCTCCAGACTGCGCTGCATACTTTATGGGCATTAAAAATTCAAGTGGCAGCAATTTTTCGTTGGGGACTTCAAATGGGAGCCGCAGAAATCGGCCTCCTCCCGGCTCCTCCGCCCCTCGCGGTCTCTCGCATCCATAATCCCCCGATGGCGGCCGCGCCCCCGCGGCTCCCCGTCCGCTGCCAATTTAATGTGTCGGCGTGTTTATCGGCTAATGAAGTTGACAACACGCGGATTAGCGCATTTAGTTGGCCAACTGTTGGCAACTGCCGAGGCAACCGTGGACTGGGCGGGTGGGGCAGCCAGGGGCGGGAATTTGAGGCAAGAAGAGGAGTCTGGACTGGTTGGGTGCACTGGCAGAAATAAGGATACATACTAGTGCATATATTACAGTAATCTTTTTTAATAAAATGGTTTTGTATCAGTTCTTTATTTTCATGATCTTTAGATTCTCTTAAAGATCAGGTTTAGAAAGTTTAGGAATAGAAATAGTGGATATAGATCCTCAGTGTACTGTCCTGCGCTGGGCATTAGCGGGAAAGCATAAGTTAATAACGATAACGATGAATATTATTTTTATGTACAAATTCCGAACCCGAATTTTCTGGCGGGTTCCTCTGTTCTCGGACCATTGGCCGGCTAGCTGTTCTTCCTAGCCGCTCTCGAGAGGAGCCACAGCATGGTAACAGCAGCGGAAGATGCCCTATCGAAGCCGCTTCTCCCAGGCCCCCCCATTCGTAATTTGTTGCTCCAGGCCGGGTTGTGACACGGCGAGTTATACGATGTGATAAGACAATAAATATTTTTACCATTTACAGTTCAATTATGCTTTCCCAGGCCTGGCCTTATCGGGCCATTGATTGGTCTATTGGGAGAACCTGTCCGAGTTAGGAACTCGTTGCTGGCCGGCTGTTTATGGCCAACTACTTCTGATCGGATAAGTCTCGAGAGTGAGTTGTGGCCCGAACCAGTTCTGGGAGTGATCTGTGATGTGTTGACGGTTAGGCTTCCATTTATTGGCGGTCAAGAGTCGTAAAACGGAGAAGATAACAGAAATGGCCAGCAGTAGATGGACAAAATATTTCCTAAATAAATTGTGCCTTAATAGACCCCATTACCATGAAAAGCCGTGCTAGTAACCCCTCTAGTCTGCAGAACTTTGTCAATTTGTGGCAAATATTTATGATAATTATAGACATTCGCTGGCCGGGAAATAAAATCATTTCATGGCACTAAATGATAGGCCTGCGATCGGAAGTCCAAAACCAGCGGAAATCGAATCGAATTTTGTGTACAAACATGCGACAATGAAAGCCAACATTGTGGAAAACAAATCGAGTTCCGGTCAGCGTCGAATGCATATGGATGGTCTGTAATTAGGGCTTTCCCAGCCCCCTCCCTGCCAGCACCAGCCCACGCGAGCACCAGCCCCACCCGCCCAAGGATGAGTGTCATGCGTTAAAGAAGCTACCCAGGGGAAGGTATCCTTTATAATTCATGGTTTTCCAACCTGAAATTAAACGGAAATTGCTCGGGAACCGAACCAACGGCTGTTGAGTCAGGGATTGGGGGCGCTGGATGGCTTGGGTGGCTTGGGCGCTGTGCGGGTGTGGAAGGATATGTAATTTGAGCAAAGTTTTCAAAATTGTTAAGTGCCCAATTGTGCGTGTGAATGTGTGTGTAATAGAGCGTCACCCAGGAGCGAAGGACTTGTCGGGCAGTAGGCGCACCTGTCCCTGTTCGCATTGTCCTGCCGCACAAAGGGTGGCACAGTGGGTGGGGCTCAGGTGCTTTAGCTTGTTAAATAATTTGTGCAGCGAAGCATTAAAATCACAGCAACGCCAGCGTATATGTAAATATTTTATATTCAGGTATTTGGTGTTCTGGATCTCGTAAGTAAATACCTGGACTTGGAGTATCGGAGAAATTAGGTTCAATAATTTTATTTATAATACAGCCCACTCACAGTCCCCTCCACTAAGTTCAGTGTCTACTCCGGGTTCTATCTACCCGCATCGACTGGCAAATTAATTCTGTTCTATAACTCAACACACAATGCTGTCAAAATATTGAGTTTTTTCCTTTCTGCTAAATTATCAACGTCAAACGCGAAACCGGAGAAAACGAGAAGACGTCGGTCGTCGGAGATGCGGCGGCAATTTCGCATCTTCTCCGCGGAGCTTCTCGCTTCTCACTTTTGCAGAAGCTAAAGGTTGTCTCTGACGGGCGGACAGACCCTCAAGCACACTCACTCACGTCCCATAAAGACAATAAATTTTCAATTTTATTTTTGCCGCCGCAGAGCCCGCGGGCAGGCATTTTTATTACGAATGGGTGAAAACAAAATAAGCAGTAAAATTAATCGTCGACTTAGCCAGCGATTAACAGACATATCAAAGACGGCACCCATTTCGAAGGCCTGATGCTGGGACCTGAGTCCCAATCGAAGGAGCCTCGCAAGAGATTAGGCCCTAAATGGCAGTGAAAACTTTCTGGCGGCGGATCGATTAACATTCAAATATTGGCTATCTTTAAAGCGGCACAAATTGGGGGGAATTATGCCCCCAAACTAGGAATAAAATGGTAACCCTTTAAAGGCTGTATAGGTAGAGTGAGGAATCCAAAATGGCAGGCATAATTTCAAGGTGGGAATGAATCCCTTCTCCTAGTATCTGATTGTGAGTTTGAAGTCCATTATTCGAGTGCAACTCCCCCAGTTCTCCCCTTTGGAAAAGCGATCCCTGCAAATCCCTTTCCAATTGCCCAACACATGTCTCCTCGACAAGGAATAGATCCCTAGCCATATGTGCCATACGCTATGGTCCTTTGTGGATCGGATAATGCGATGGCTCGGTTTCTTCGATTTCATCTTCCAGCACTCCAGCACACCTTTCATTCGGGGTGTAAATTGAGCTCTAATCAAGGCGAGCCGATCGCAAATCCTTTCAAGTCATCTCATGTTTACCAAAAGGTGCCGAAAGCAAACATCTAGCGAAAGGATTAGGCACCACAAAGCACACACATGTCTCGGCGAGGAGCTCTCTATTGAGGGCCCAAATTAGGTGGATCCTGATCCCGATCCCGATCCTGTCGATCCCTATTCTCGCATTGTGCATTGTGCAAGCGACAAATTAATTGCATTTACTTCGGAAATTCGATCCTTTTGCTCGGCAACGGTAGCGGGTGTGGACTCTCCATTCTCCGCTGAAATCCTAAACTTGAGCAGTCCCCTGCGCCCTGATTAAATAATTAATAATATTTTATAAACAAGCGGCGCACTTATCGCACAATAAACCCGCCAAGGATGCGCTTCAAACTACTCTGAGTACAGGCGGAAAAAGTAATCCATCCCTAAGACAGACCTAATGATTATATATTTTTAGTGTCTGATCATGTTTAACTTTTTGTTGACTTGGATCTAGGTAATCCCTGTTCACCACCTAGTTGCGAATCTAGGGGCTATTAGCCAGAAGTATTTGTTTTCTTTCCGTGTAAGCTACTTGTTTAGGGTCTTTGGAAAAGGCCACACAGGCGCGGGTTCGAGCCTATCTATAATCTGATCGGCCGTCTGGAGTGCCACTGCACTGCATCTCGGAAGGACCGAACGACCAATGACAAAACACAGGCCCGAACAACAAACACGTTAATGTACGAGATGTAGATAAGTTCATCATCGACGCAGTGCAGCCATGGCAGCCCCCAGTCCTGAACCACACTCGAAAAAATGGTGAGCTCCTTTCCTGCAGTTCTTCCTTCTGATGTCTGTCTTGAGGAACGTTTTCTCCCTGTGGACTCCCAGAGCTGCGCCTCGGAATCCCACTGACCACTCCGGAGTAGGGGGGTGTTGACGTCTTGTAGGAGGCGGTTACGACGATGGCATTGATGGTGCCTCGAGGGCCGTTTAAAGGCCGCCACAACTTATCGACAGATTCGAATCGGATCTGGGCCCGCTTGTGTGTGTTCCCTGGTTGGCTGCCTCCTCCTCGACTGCCTGGCCTTGCCGCAGGATCTGCGATAAATCACTTTTTAGTGCTGCGCAGCCATCAAAATCAATAAAGACCGCAGCCGCCTGGAAGGTGTATAAATTGAAACGTTGATGGCTTCATCATTGGCCTCAGCCGACTGCGGCATTTGATCACAGCATTCGTTCCGCTCATGTAGGTCCTGCCTCGGCGCTGTTTGTTGCTGGCCCTGTTTAGGTAGATGAACCTCTGGCCAGGTGCCTGATTTACGTCACACTGGGTGTTTGATGACCACTGAGGCTCCTCTTCAACATAAACCTTTTAATTACCCTAATAGTCCTCTATTAACTTGATTGGTCTTTAATTTGATAGGAGGATTTGACAGTCCTCCTTAAATACTTAATACAGTTGTATTGTTTATTAAACATTGATTGAATTTACTCTGCAAAGGAGCGTTTTTTTGGGGAAACAACATACCTTTGACATCTTTTTCCAATTTCAAACCATACAAGTCCAATATAAATTGCATAGTTTTTGATAAAGTATCGACATTTTGTAAAAAAAATTGGTTTGCTTGAGCCCGTAGCCAAACGAATAGAATTAATATAACTCCGTTGTGCTGTTGTGCACAAGCCATTGCAAATTACTGTTTTCGAATTTGCGCGCCCACTGCCTACCTGTGAATGGGCAGCACTGGAAATCGATAGCACAGTGGTCGATTTCGATAGGTGTCCGATTGTCGGAAAACGAGCTGGCATCCCCGTCGGTTGTTGCTTCTCAACTGCTGTTGTTGTTGTTGCCGTTTGAATGGAAATCAAAACCAAACAAAATCTCGAGTGAAGACAAGTTGTTTTGGATCTAGTCCTCGAGTCGATACCTGTCTAAAAATTCTCGGTTTGTTTTTGTATCCCACAAAATTCTTTGTGCGAATGTAAAATATTAAGGTAAGTGTTCCCATCTCCACAAGGACACATTCCCCCACACGCCCACACTCGCGTCCACGCACACAGGCCGCAAAAGCCGGCTGGGGTCTCGTCAGCGACTGGAAGTTCGCGCCATCAGACATTTTTGAATTTTAGATTTCGGTGCGTTTTTCGGTGCATCAGCGCGGAATATTGAAGGCGAAAGTCTTCGCGCGGCTTGTTTATTTTGGGTGTCGGCTGCTCCTCTTTTCTTGGCACGCACTTCTCACTGTTATTGATCGATTGGCAATCGATGAGCGAAGTGTGCCCCGCAGTGTGTCTCATGATCTTGGTGCCGTGCCATCAGGTTTCGAAAATAGCCAGCCATTGACACGCCCCGCACCAGACGCCTCGGTGAAGTAATAGCACAGTGCCCACCGCAGCTGCACCAATTGCACCACTACCACCACCCGCCAGACGGCACCTTGAACCCATTCAGAAACCCACTGTTGATCCACTTCCAATTCCACACCAACTGGCTGTCCGAATGGTCAGCGCACTCGGAGAGCATAAGTACTTACGAAAATAAACCGCCCCGTTCCCAAGACCACAAAGACCAAGTTCAGTGGGAAGTCCATATCACGAAGCATCCAAATGCCAAGTATTCTGTTTTTCAAAGTTATCCTCTTCCCTTCAAAACCAACAGATAAAAAGTAAAAAAAGTAATTCAAAGTCACTATCCTCATTACAGTTATCAAAATTACCTGTGAACTCATATTATGGCTCAGATGACCGAGAAGAGGATGTCGTCGGCCCGATCAGGGACCGCCGCGAAGGAGAACCATGGCGGGTCCGGGGGACGGCACCACCATCACCAGAGCCGCAGCGGCAAGGGCATCGAGATTCTTGACTTCCACGAGTCCTGGCTGGAGGAGGTGGAGCTCTACAAGGACAAGATGGTCATGTGCAAGAAGCTGACCCACCACAACCACGTACCCGCCTCGTCGCACCCGAACCACTTCAACCAGCACCTCTCTCCTCCGAACCGCTACCAAGGCCGGGTGGGGCCTACCACTCCGCAGCACCGCAGTGCCGCTGGCGGGGGATCGGCGGCCGGTGGGGGACCCGTCTCCGCGGTCGCCTCCGCCGCTGCTGCCGCCTCAGCTGCTGCGGCGGCCTCCGCCCGCACCTCGCCCCCCAAGCTGAAGAGTCCGCCCTCTTCGCGCAAGCGCCACTCGCCGGAAAAGTCGCTCTCCAACGGCTTGTCGAAGGCCACTCAGCCGCCGCAGCGCGTCAGCATGCGGGGATCTCCTATCCTGAGTTCGCCCCCGAAGGTCACCACAGCCGTGAGCGCCACCGTGGCCCCAGTTGTGGCCAACAGCGTGCTCCAGTCTGAGCCCTACAAGAAGGTTCAGGTGAGTTGAACATCCCATGGCCTGTCTTCGTGTCGATACCGTTTCGTGTGCAGACCTGGTGTGTATTGTACTCCGCTTATCACTGGTTCAGGATAGTCCACATAGAGGAATAGGTCTGCCAGCACAGATGGCCAAAGTTATCACTAGGTGCCATATGGTTCTCTTATCAGCTCCCCACAAGGTTGTCCAGTGAGGTTGACCTAATATCTCGTTCTCTTGTTTATTTCGTTTACATGCCAAGTTACTAAACTAACTCATGCTTTTCGAGATAGAACACGCTTCTCTAAAGACCCAAAGATTGCCCACCATGACTCCTAACCACACCCATGGGAAACTAACTCCATAACTCTTTGTTCTCCCCTACCCTGCATGCTGCCTTTCTATGTCCTGCCCGCTGCGCTCTCCACTAACCACACAGATGCTATTGAAGCGCGCGAGGGACGAAGCCTTCTCCAAGCACTCGGTGGGCAACGGCGTCGGAAACGGAAACGGGGCCGGAAACGGGCACAAGCGCTGCAGCCTGAGCCCAACCATCCAGGCCAAGGGAGCGCCCTCTAGCCTGTCCTGCTCGAGCACCCAGACCCTGAAGCCCTCGCCGCCGAGCAAGATCGTCGTGAACACCTTCCACGGCAGCAGCATGCTAAGTGCCCAGCAGCAGGAGGAAAAGAGCCGGCTGCTCACCCAGAACGGACTGACCAAGTCGGCAGCCACCGCCTTGGAGACTAGTCTCTACGCTTCCCTTTACGCCCAGTCGTCGCATAACGGCCAGCACCACTTCACCAGCCACCGGGTTACCGCCGGTGACCACTGTTCGCCCTATGTGGGTGTGTCCTTGAACAAGGGCGGTCAAGAGCTCGACCGTCGCCACGAGGATGATCCGTGTGCAGGTGGGTACTAAATATCGAGGAAGCTTCACAATCACTCATGTTAATTCCAAATTCCAGCCATCGACGACATCAACAACTACGACGACTCTGACTCCGAGGAGGAGTATGTGGGCACCCCGTTTTTCCTGGAGGAGGACAGCTCTGAGACGCACCAGAGCCGGCACACGCGCCTCCAGCCTGAGAAAAGAGATTCAAAGGAGTCGGTGGCCACCACAGACTCTGAGGCGTCGGTCTACTTCCGGCCCGAGGCCATCCTCTCTCCCAGCCTGTTCCCGAACGTCCCGCCCTACCTCAACTTCACCTCGCACGCCGACAAGGGTCCTCCGATGCCGGCGGCCCTGCACCGCGTCCTGAAGTGGAAGCTGAGTCCGGTGATGCCCAAGATTGTGAAGCGGGTGGTCCTCAATTCCGGCTTTCGCATTATCAAGAGTGGGTTATCCCTGCACCCTGGAGACTCCAACCTTTTTAATAATTTCCCTTTTCGACAGACACCACCGACTGGATGGCCGTGTGGGAGAAGCACATGAAAAGCCCCGGCTTCCGGACCATTCGATCCCACCAGAAGTACAACCATATACCCGGGTCGTTCCGAATAGGTCGCAAGGACACCATGTGGCGCAGCATCTACAGCAACATGAAGAAATTCGGAAAGAAGGAGTTTGGTTTTATGCAAAAGTGGGTTGTTACATTTTATAAACTACACCAGCATTTGAAACTCTTCCCAAACTCTTTCAGATCCTACATAATGCCGGACGACCTGGAGAACCTCCGACAGGTGTGGCCAAAGAACGCCTCCAAACTGACGAAATGGATTGTGAAGCCGCCTGCGAGTGCCCGAGGAACCGGAATACGGATCGTCAACAAATGGAGCCAGTTTCCCAAAGACCGTCCTCTAGTCGTTCAGAAGTGAGTAGCAGGGTCCTTCTCAGCCAATCCTAACCCATTACTCGTGTACCATTAGATACATCGAACGTCCGCTGCTGATCAACGACAACAAGTTCGACATGCGCATCTATGTGGTACTGACCTCGATCAACCCGCTCCGCATCTACATGTACAAAGACGGCCTGGCCAGATTCGCCTCCGTGAAGTACAGCTCGGAGCTGAGCAATCTCGACGAGCGCTGCATGCACCTGACCAACTACAGCATCAACAAGTTCTCGCAGAACTATGCCAAGAACGAGGACTTCAATGCCTGCCAGGGACACAAGTGGACGCTGCAGTCGCTGTGGTCATGTCTGGAGAACCGCGGCGTCAACACCAAGCGCCTCTGGGCCACGCTTCGCAATCTGGTCATCAAGGGCATCGTGAGCGGCGAGTCGGGACTGAACCGCATGTACCGCCAAAATGTCAATTTCCGATACAATTGCTTCGAGCTATTCGGCTTTGATGTGTTGCTGGATGAGAATCTGGTTCCGTGGCTCCTGGAGATCAACATCTCGCCCTCACTGCACTCGGAGCTTCCACTGGACCTCCATGTCAAGGGGCCCCTCATCCAGTCTGTGTTGAACACGGCGCTCTACCAGGTGCCGCCAAAGCTGAACGAACGCCAACAGGCCGAGATTCTAGAGGAGCTGAACCTCACCGGGCCTCTGTGTCACGACAAGCGTATCTTCACCACCTGCCTGACTGCGGAGGAGGTGCGCAAGCACAACCAGTACACTAACCGCAGCATCGAGTTCCGGGAGGAGTACGTGGACACCATTCTGGACAACCTGCTGCCGGATGACGTGCGTTGCCTTATCGTCGCCGAGGACGAGCTGGCGCGATGCCAGCCGCTGGAGAGGATCTTCCCCACGGCGGGGACCCACGTCTACCTGCGCTACATCGAGAACGCCCGCTACTACAACCGCCTGCTGGATGCCTGGGAGTCCAAGTACGCCAAGAACCGGGAGGTGGGGATCGCCTTGCTGTCGCGGTATTGCCGAGACAAGTATCATCTGCAGGTTTCAGACGCGGCCATGGAGAAGGTGAACCCAACCCCATACCCCTTTCGCTTTCGCTATCGCTTCTGTAGCTCGTTCTCAAGTCATATTTCTTACCTAGGAACCCAATGTCGCACTTACCGAGATCGATATGCTGCACGTACGCAAGGATGAGGTCCTGGACGGTGCCACCACGCTGGCCCTGCTCAAGCCCGCCGCCGCCGCGGACAGCGGCGAGGTGGTGCCGCCAGGTTCGGACGCCTGCATCGAGATTAAAACCTGAAACCACCGAGACTGACCTGACTGTCCGAAGTCACCCCCACCGCCACTGCATACCGAAATCATCTGAAAGTTGCTCTCGTTCTAATCCTTTCCGTTTGCGGCCCGCATCCCGTTCACCAAATTCACCTTGGAATTGTCGCCACCAAATAAAGTTACATAAATCCGATCGTCTTTATTATAATCGTGGATTTTTTATCCAGAATGTTCAGTAATGTTCCTCAATATTTATAACAGATGTAGATGTAAAATTATTTAAAATGAATGATTTAAATGATTTTCTTCCGGACCTTTGAAGGAAAATGGTCCTTTCTGTGAAACTCAAGTATGAATCTCATGTTATTTTTCAGTAAGTCGAAAACCTTGTCTTATTATTATTGTTATTTCTACGTTGTCCTCATCCTTAGGAAGGTCCCGATTCTTTTGGAATTTGTAATCTTTGAAAAACACATTTAATCACCAGTAAGGTTACTTGTGCATTCAGGGAACAAGGAAAATACATTCCCTTTTAAATTTGTATGAGATATAGATTTGTAAAAAATTTAAAGATAACTGTAGGGCCGAAAGTATGGAAAATCTAACCAAATATTTTCCACTTCATATTACTTTCATATCATGGTAATTTCTCGTCCGATATGTAATTTCGAAATCAGTTTTCGAATTAACATGGCGTTGCCATACCATGTAAAAAATGTACCACTTGAAATGGGCGCATCTTGGCCATTTCTCAATTGATCTGGTAACGCCTTTTCGGAATAAAGATATCAATAGCTTTCAAACTGTAAAAAGATTTTCGATATTCAGAATCAAAATCCTGAGACAAAATTCCCCTATACGGTCCACTGTGATGGCTATTTCTTCCCCAATTCTCATCCGATTCACAAACGGAGTACCTTAAACGATTTCTGGATCGATTCGCCACCATTCTGCATCAAAATCCTGAGACAAAATATTTTTTAGATTTTTTGTTCATTTTTCGTGATGGGATCCCTTGAAAATGCGGTTTTCCCTATGGGATCCACAGTGATGGCTATATCTTCCCCAATTCTCATCAGATTCTCAAGCGGAGTACCTTAAACGATTTCTGGATCGATTTGCCACCATTCTGCATCAAAATCCTGAGACAAAATATTTTTTAGATTTTTTGTTCATTTTTCGTGATGGGATCCCTTGAAAATGCGGTTTTCCCTATGGGATCCACAGTGATGGCTATATCTTCCCCAATTCTCATCCTATTCTCAAGCGGAGTACCTTAAACGATTTCTGGATCGATTCGCCACCATTCTGCATCAAAATCCTGAGACAAAATATTTTTTAGATTTTTTGTTCATTTTTCGTGATGGGATCCCTTGAAAATGGTGTTTTCCCCTATGGGGTCCACAGTGATGGCTATATCTTCCCCAATTCTCATCCGATTCTCAAGCGGAGTACCTTAAACGATTTCTGGATCGATTTGCCACCATTCTGCATCAAAATCCTGAGACAAAATATTTTTTAGATTTTTTGTCCATTTTTCGTGATGGGATCCCTTGAAAATGGTGTTTTCCCCTATAGGGTCCACAGTGATGGCTATATTTTCCCCAATTCTCATCCGATTCTCAAGCGGAGTACCTTAAACGATTTCTGGATCGATTTGCCACCATTCTGCATCAAAATCCTGAGACAAAATATTTTTTAGATTTTTTGTCCATTTTTCGTGATGGGATCCCTTGAAAATGGTGTTTTCCCCTATGGGGTCCACAGTGATGGCTATATCTTCCCCAACTCTCATCCGATTCTCAAGCGGAGTACCTTAAACGATTTCTGGATCGATTTGCCACCATTCTGCATCAAAATCCTGAGACAAAATATTTTTTAGATTTTTTGTCCATTTTTCGTGATGGGATCCCTTGAAAATGGTGTTTTCCCCTATGGGGTCCACAGTGATGGCTATATTTTCCCCAATTCTCATCCGATTCTCAAGCGGAGTACCTTAAACGATTTCTGGTTCGATTCTCCACCATTCTGCATCAAAATCGTGATACAAAATATTTTTTAGATTTTTGTCCATTTTTCGTGATGGGATCCCTTGAAAATGGTGTTTTCCCCTATAGGGTCCACAGTGATGGCTATATTTTCCCCAATTCTCATCCGATTCTCAAGCGGAGTACCTTAAACGATTTCTGGATCGATTTGCCACCATTCTGCATCAAAATCCTGAGACAAAATATTTTTTAGATTTTTTGTCCATTTTTCGTGATGGGATCCCTTGAAAATGGTGTTTTCCCCTATGGGGTCCACAGTGATGGCTATATCTTCCCCAATTCTCATCCGATTCTCAAGCGGAGTACCTTAAACGATTTCTGGATCGATTTGCCACCAATCTGCATCAAAATCCTGAGACAAAATATTTTTTAGATTTTTTTTCCATTTTTCGTGATGGGATCCCTTGAAAATGGTGTTTTCCCCTATAGGCTCCACAGTGATGGCTATATCTTCCCCAATTCTCATCCGATTCTCAAGCGGAGTACCTTAAACGATTTCTGGATCGATTTGCCACCATTCTGCATCAAAATCCTGAGACAAAATATTTTTTAGATTTTTTGTCCATTTTTCGTGATGGGATCCCTTGAAAATGGTGTTTTCCCCTATGGGGTCCACAGTGATGGCTATATCTTCCCCAACTCTCATCCGATTCTCAAGCGGAGTACCTTAAACGATTTCTGGATCGATTTGCCACCATTCTGCATCAAAATCGTGATACAAAATATTTTTTAGATTTTTTGTCCATTTTTCGTGATGGGATCCCTTGAAAATGGTGTTTTCCCCTATGGGGTCCACAGTGATGGCTATATTTTCCCCAATTCTCATCCGATTCTCAAGCGGAGTACCTTAAACGATTTCTGGATCGATTCGCCACCATTCTGCATCAAAATACTGAGACAAAATATTTTTTAGATTTTTTGTCCATTTTTCGTGATGGGATCCCTTGAAAATGGTGTTTTCCCCTATGGGGTCCACAGTGATGGCTATATCTTCCCCAATTCTCATCCGATTCTCAAGCGGAGTACCTTAAACGATTTCTGGATCGATTCGCCACCATTCTGCATCAAAATCCTGAGACAAAATATTTTTTAGATTTTTTGTTCATTTTTCGTGATGGGATCCCTTGAAAATGGTGTTTTCCCCTATGGGGTCCACAGTGATGGCTATATCTTCCCCAACTCTCATCCGATTCTCAAGCGGAGTACCTTAAACGATTTCTGGATCGATTTGCCACCATTCTGCATCAAAATCCTGAGACAAAATATTTTTTAGATTTTTTGTCCATTTTTCGTGATGGGATCCCTTGAAAATGGTGTTTTCCCCTATAGGGTCCACAGTGATGGCTATATCTTCCCCAATTCTCATCCGATTCTCAAGCGGAGTACCTTAAACGATTTCTGGTTCGATTCTCCACCATTCTGCATCAAAATCGTGATACAAAATATTTTTTAGATTTTTTGTCCATTTTTCGTGATGGGATCCCTTGAAAATGGTGTTTTCCCCTATAGGGTCCACAGTGATGGCTATATTTTCCCCAATTCTCATCCGATTCTCAAGCGGAGTACCTTAAACGATTTCTGGATCGATTTGCCACCATTCTGCATCAAAATCCTGAGACAAAATATTTTTTAGATTTTTTGTCCATTTTTCGTGATGGGATCCCTTGAAAATGGTGTTTTCCCCTATGGGGTCCACAGTGATGGCTATATCTTCCCCAATTCTCATCCGATTCTCAAGCGGAGTACCTTAAACGATTTCTGGATCGATTCGCCACCATTCTGCATCAAAATCCTGAGACAAAATATTTTTTAGATTTTTTGTTCATTTTTCGTGATGGGATCCCTTGAAAATGGTGTTTTCCCCTATGGGGTCCACAGTGATGGCTATATCTTCCCCAATTCTCATCCGATTCTCAAGCGGAGTACCTTAAACGATTTCTGGATCGATTTGCCACCAATCTGCATCAAAATCCTGAGACAAAATATTTTTTAGATTTTTTTTCCATTTTTCGTGATGGGATCCCTTGAAAATGGTGTTTTCCCCTATAGGGTCCACAGTGATGGCTATATCTTCCCCAATTCTCATCCGATTCTCAAGCGGAGTACCTTAAACGATTTCTGGATCGATTTGCCACCATTCTGCATCAAAATCCTGAGACAAAATATTTTTTAGATTTTTTGTCCATTTTTCGTGATGGGATCCCTTGAAAATGGTGTTTTCCCCTATGGGGTCCACAGTGATGGCTATATTTTCCCCAATTCTCATCCGATTCTCAAGCGGAGTACCTTAAACGATTTCTGGTTCGATTCTCCACCATTCTGCATCAAAATCGTGATACAAAATATTTTTTAGATTTTTTGTCCATTTTTCGTGATGGGATCCCTTGAAAATGGTGTTTTCCCCTATGGGGTCCACAGTGATGGCTATATCTTCCCCAATTCTCATCCGATTCTCAAGCGGAGTACCTTAAACGATTTCTGGATCGATTCGCCACCATTCTGCATCAAAATCCTGAGACAAAATATTTTTTAGATTTTTTGTTCATTTTTCGTGATGGGATCCCTTGAAAATGGTGTTTTCCCCTATGGGGTCCACAGTGATGGCTATATCTTCCCCAATTCTCATCCGATTCTCAAGCGGAGTACCTTAAACGATTTCTGGATCGATTTGCCACCATTCTGCATCAAAATCCTGAGACAAAATATTTTTTAGATTTTTTGTCCATTTTTCGTGATGGGATCCCTTGAAAATGGTGTTTTCCCCTATGGGGTCCACAGTGATGGCTATATTTTCCCCAATTCTCATCCGATTCTCAAGCGGAGTACCTTAAACGATTTCTGGTTCGATTCTCCACCATTCTGCATCAAAATCGTGATACAAAATATTTTTTAGATTTTTTGTCCATTTTTCGTGATGGGATCCCTTGAAAATGGTGTTTTCCCCTATGGGGTCCACAGTGATGGCTATATCTTCCCCAATTCTCATCCGATTCTCAAGCGGAGTACCTTAAACGATTTCTGGATCGATTCGCCACCATTCTGCATCAAAATCCTGAGACAAAATATTTTTTAGATTTTTTGTTCATTTTTCGTGATGGGATCCCTTGAAAATGGTGTTTTCCCCTATGGGGTCCACAGTGATGGCTATATCTTCCCCAATTCTCATCCGATTCTCAAGCGGAGTACCTTAAACGATTTCTGGATCGATTTGCCACCAATCTGCATCAAAATCCTGAGACAAAATATTTTTTAGATTTTTTTTCCATTTTTCGTGATGGGATCCCTTGAAAATGGTGTTTTCCCCTATAGGGTCCACAGTGATGGCTATATCTTCCCCAATTCTCATCCGATTCTCAAGCGGAGTACCTTAAACGATTTCTGGATCGATTTGCCACCATTCTGCATCAAAATCCTGAGACAAAATATTTTTAGATTTTTTGTCCATTTTTCGTGATGGGATCCCTTGAAAATGGTGTTTTCCCCTATGGGGTCCACAGTGATGGCTATATTTTCCCCAATTCTCATCCGATTCTCAAGCGGAGTACCTTAAACGATTTCTGGATCGATTTGCCACCATTCTGCATCAAAATCCTGAGACAAAATATTTTTAGATTTTTTGTCCATTTTTCGTGATGGGATCCCTTGAAAATGGTGTTTTCCCCTATGGGGTCCACAGTGATGGCTATATCTTCCCCAATTCTCATCCGATTCTCAAGCGGAGTACCTTAAACGATTTCTGGATCGATTTGCCACCAATCTGCATCAAAATCCTGAGACAAAATATTTTTTAGATTTTTTTTCCATTTTTCGTGATGGGATCCCTTGAAAATGGTGTTTTCCCCTATAGGCTCCACAGTGATGGCTATATCTTCCCCAATTCTCATCCGATTCTCAAGCGGAGTACCTTAAACGATTTCTGGATCGATTTGCCACCAATCTGCATCAAAATCCTGAGACAAAATATTTTTTAGATTTTTTTTCCATTTTTCGTGATGGGATCCCTTGAAAATGGTGTTTTCCCCTATGGGGTCCACAGTGATGGCTATATCTTCCCCAATTCTCATCCGATTCTCAAGCGGAGTATCTTAAACGATTTCTGGATCGATTCGCCACCATTCTGCATCAAAATCCTGAGACAAAATATTTTTTAGATTTTTTGTTCATTTTTCGTGATGGGATCCCTTGAAAATGGTGTTTTCCCCTATGGGGTCCACAGTGATGGCTATATCTTTCCCAATTCTCATCCGATTCTCAAGCGGAGTACCTTAAACGATTTCTGGATCGATTTTCCACCATTCTGCATCAAAATCCTGAGACAAAATATTTTTTAAATTTTTTGTCCATTTTTCGTGATGGGATCCCTTGAAAACGGTGTTTTAATCTATAGGCTCCACAGTGATGGACAGTAATCTATGGAAAAGCTGGGAAAATTCAGGACATATCTTTAGATCTGATAATATCTATTAAATCTGTTATAGCTGTTTATTAAAACAAGGAGATTCTATATTATTCTTTAATGGATTTTATTCACTTTTGAAACTTTGAGCCAACAAGTGATTTCACTTTCAAGCACACGGAACTAGACCCAGGAAGTTGGAAATTGTGTCCTCGATAGGAGGAACCTGCTTGTTCTCGTGACAATGCAGCAGCTTGAAGATGCCCGTGCCAATGCCCGCCGGCATGCCCAGGATAATGCGCTCCGACACGCCGTTGATGGCGTCCGTCTGGCCGTAGTAGGCCGCGTCGAAGAGGTGGTCGGCAGTCTTTTCGAAGGAGGCCAGGTTGAAGACGCTCTCGCGCATCTTGGCCAGGCCGTGGCGCGTGATACCGAGCACCTCGCCACGGGCTGTCATCTGGCTGGCCAGGAGCATAATGTGCCGCCAGTCGACGCTCATTCCGTGGCCCTCCATGACCTCCGTGATTTCGCTCATGATGATGGTGCGGGCCGCTTCTATCCCGAGGGTCTGGTAGATCTCGCATATGTTATTGCTGCGCGTGTGGACTCCGACCACGCCGTAGGTGGCGATGACGTCCCGCAGGCCGTAGCCCTCGATGCACAGCTTATAGGTGGCCGGCTGGCGGGCGTCGTCCACCGCAATCACCGCGCGGTTGATGTTCGGCAGCCCCGCCACCACAACACTCTGAAGGCTAAGGGCCAAGCGCGCCAGCTCCGAATTGATGGTGGCGTTCCGAGTTGCTTCCACGCGGACGACTATCCGTGACTCGCGGGCTACCTCCACCTGCGCCGGCTTGAGGCGCATCCGGGACTTGAGGATACTCCCTACAATGGTGTCCAGGTTGATGTGCAGACCCAGAAGCTTGATCCTCGCCATGTCGATGCCAATGGCCAGGTAGCAACTGTGTGGGCCACACACCACCTCCACGTACGAGGACAGCTCGCCCAGCGTGGTCTTCTCGATGCGCGCCTTCACTTGGCGGGCAAACTCCATGCTTAGGTTGTCCTGCAGCTCGGCCGTGATGATCGGGGTGGATATGGTTTTGGTGGCGTTGATGATCTCCACAATGCGGGGCACTCCCTGGGTGATGTTCATGGAGGCCACACCGGCAAAATGGAAGGTCTTCAGGGTCATCTGGGTGCCGGGCTCTCCGATGCTCTGGGCGGCGATGGCTCCCACAGCCGTACCCGGTTCGCTCACGGCCCGGTTGTATCGATCGTTGATGCGCCTCAGGAACTCCAGGAGCTGGTCGGTGGTGAGGCATTCGATTTGGTGGCACAGGTTGCCATGCGGCTCGTACTTTTCCTGCAAGAGGCTGATTCTCATCGACACAGTTTTGAGGTGCTTCCTCACGTCTTCTTTAAAATCCTCACGAGATTCGGAAAACTCCGGAGTCTTCAAGAGCGATTCCGCAACCTCAGGAATTTCGGAGCCACGGAGGGGTTGCTGTTGGCCAGGGTGAATCTGGGCACGTAAGTTATCATACTGATGCACCAAATCGACGGGCTTATTCCGGGTCTCCATGGAGACGGGGTCCAGGCCGTCGCCACCGTAGATGGTGTCCACCATTTCGTTTACGGCGTTACGCACGGTGCCGTCGTAGTGCACGACCAAGTCTTCCAGGCACTTCACCAGCCGTCGCTGCAGATATCCGGTCTCGGCCGTCTTCACCGCCGTGTCCACCAGGCCCTCGCGACCGGCCATGGTGTGGAAAAAGAACTCCGTGGGTGTCAGGCCCGAGTAGAAACTGTTTTGGACGAAGCCCCTGGCCGCCGGAATTGCAGAGTGCCTGTCGAAGTGGGGAAGCGCTCTGTTCTCGAACCCGTTGGGCACTCGCTTGCCACTGATGGCCTGCTGGCCCACGCAGGCAATCATCTGGGAGATGTTGATGTTCGACCCCTTGGACCCACTGAGGGCCATGATGAGGGCGCTGTTGGTGGGATGCAGCTCGGCAAAGCAGGTCTTGGCAGCCTGCTCACGAATGCCGGACAGTTCGCGCAACATCACGGACTCAAGGGTCTCCTCCGGGGTGCATCCAGGCTGGCACTGCAAAGTGCCGGCCTTGAGCTTCTCGATGTACTCATTGCACTTGGCGTATCCGCGCTGCAGCAGGTACTCCTTGTGCTCCAGAAGCCGCTTGCTGGGCGTCACATCACTGATCCCGAACGAAAAGCCGCGGTTCTGGATGAAGTACGAGGCGATCCTGGCCAGCCGCCACATCGCCTTGGTGGCAAAGGCCTCCCCGAAGTCGCGCAGCATCAGGTAGAAGATGCACTGCTTGGTGCCAGACCCCATGGTGGCCTTGTCCATGACGCCGCACATCAGCTCCGAGTTGCGAATGTGAATCCAAGAGTCGTTGCTGCACAGGTCCATGTTTCGCGTGTAGTTGCGTCCCTTGTTGACCATGTTGAGCCGCACCTGGGAGTCGTTGTTGGGCCGCATCAGCAGGCTGAACATCTGCTTGCCCGTCCACAGGCGCCGCGGCTTCAGCAGAGCGGGCGGCGGCATTTCGATGTGCATGGTGGAGTCCTCGTTGGCCAGGAAACACGCAGCCAGCTGCATGGCTTCTTCTTTGGTGAGGAAGACCTCCTTCTGGGTCAGCAAGTAGCCGCCGGTGATGAAGTCCTGGGTGGCGGCAATCAGAATCTCCCCGTTCTTGGGCGTTACCAGGTTCGACTGGTTGCCCATGAGGATGAGGGCCTCGGCTCTGGCCTCCTCCGTCTGCGGCAAGTGCAGGTTCATCTCGTCGCCATCGAAGTCCGCGTTGTAGGGCGTGCAGGCACACTCGTTGAACCGAAAGGTCCTCTGGGGCTGGACCTTGGCGCGGTGGCACATGATGGACATCTTGTGCAGCGAGGGCTGCCGGTTGAATAGGACTATGTCGTCGTCGCGCAAGTGACGCTCCACAATGTCGCCGCACCTCAGTTCCTGGGCCACCTTCTCGCGATTGCCGTACGCCAAGTACTTCTTGAAGCTCGAGCCCCGCTGCTGGACGTAGTTAGCGCCTGGATGAGTACTGGGACCGTTTCGCACTAGCTGCCTCATATGGCGCATGTTGGCTTGGTTGACGCGCTCCGGGTAGGTGAGGATCTTGGCCACGCGCACCGGCACGCCCACCTGGTTAATCATTAGGTTGGGGTCTGGGGAGATGACAGTGCGTCCACTAAAGTCCACACGCTTCCCCGAGAGGTTGCAGCGAAAGCGGCCCTGCTTTCCCTTCAGCCGTTGGACGATTCCGCGGGTCGTTTTCTTGGGGGCCATGTTGATGGGGATGCCGCTGATTTCGCTGTGGAAGTAGAGGGCGACGTGCAGCTGCAAAAAGTCCCAGTCCTCGTGGATGAGCTCGATTTTTCCGCCGGTGGCCATGTGGCGTTGAATGACATCGTTGATGAGCAGGATCTCGCTCTGTTTCATGGTCAAGTCGTCCTCCGTGGTGCCGGCCTTCACCTCGGACAGCACCGAGGGACGAATGCAGGCCGGGGGCACAAACACCCGGGTCACAATCAGGTTCTTTGGATGTGCTCCTCGCGAACACATTCCGAGCAAGGCCACATCGCTTTGGGGTATTTGCTCGAACAGATCCAGTACCATCAGGGGGGTCAACTCCTCGGCGGTACTGTAGCTGCTGAGCGTCATGTTGAGGTCCCTGTTGGCCTCCGTGGAGCGGAGCATTTCGTTCATGTTATTGGTGAAGGCAGAGTCCACCTTGCGCCCCTTGTAGGGATCGTGCAGTATCTTGAGCAGACCAGGTCCCTTTTTGACGCCGCCGTTGGGCGAGCCGCAGTGCGGGCACTTGGTGACCTTCTTTGCCTTGGCCAGCATCTGGACGTGCAGGGCCTTCTTTCCCAAGTACGAGAAGTTTGGGTTGTGCAGCTTTTTCTCAAAAACGGCCCTATCCTCGGTCTTGAGCATCACCTGGGCGCAGGTCTTGCAGATCATTTGCAGAATGTTGATGGTGGAGCGGAAGTGGCCGATGTGGAAAACTGGCAGCGCCAGGTCCAGGTAGCCGAAGTGACCGATACACTCGTTCAAGCCCTGGCCGCAGGTCTCGCACATGGCGTCCTTCGTGCCGATGCCCATGCGCCGATCCAGCACCCCATATGGCACCGGTTGGCGCTGTCCCTGATAGAGGTTCTTGGATATGATCCGCACAAGTGACTCCTGCTGTATCTCATCCGCTGCGCTGATCCCGAACTGCACATGGGAACTTTTGTGGGAAAGATTAGATTCGGTTCCTTTGAAATGGCCAACTACTTACATTTTCTTGTTCAGCGCCGAAGCGCGAAACTGCTCCTTGGGCATGGTGGCGAGCTACTTAGTGCGGGGTCTTTAAGGTCTGAAGCAATCCTACAATACTTTGTATTATTAAAAACAATAACATAAACGAAACCACTTCGCCTGCATTGCCATGTGAACTTTGTATAAGGCACCCTGTGGTATGCACGCTTCTTCTGCCTTCAAACTGGTCACCCTGTGGCGCTAAATTTAAATTTAAAACTATGGGAGTATCATTTGTTTATTTTTTGCCTTCTTGAGTTATTAACGACGGAGATTAGTTAAGGCTTTGGAAAGTGCCTTAGGCGTGTGTTTATTGAAAGGAATATTTTTATTGGTGAATTTTCAAGTGGGCTTACAAAGATTTAAGTTTTTGGTACGAGACTTGGTAAAGGCACTTCTTACATATATGATATAGTAGCTAAACTATCTATAAACTATATACTAGGTGCTGTGCTTCCGTTTGATGTGCTTCCGAAGGCTGTTACTAAACGTATAGGTCATCTCGCACTTCGAGCACTTGTGGAGTTTGCCGCCTGTGTGGCTGAACATATGCATATTGAATGTATCGCGTCTGCTGAGGGAGACTGGGCAGAGGGTACAGCGGTAGGGTAGCTCGCCTGTGTGGATGCGCATGTGTATCTTCAGGTTATAGTTCTTCGAAAACGACGATGAACATAGGGTGCACTTAAACGGCTGTTCTCTGGTGTGACTGCGTATGTGGTTTTTCAGATTTCCCTTGTGGGAAAACCCTTTGTTGCAGTGGGGACATGTGTAAGGCCGCTCCCCATTGTGGACGCTCTGGATGTGAATTTTGAGATTACCTTTGTATGAAAAGGGTTTCGAGCAAACAGGGCACACAAACAGAGGCTTGGTATTGTTTATTGGTTCTTGGTTCTGCTTAGGAGAGATGTCACTACTGGTAACAACATCGAAGGCATCATCGCTGGCCTCACTGCTTCGGTCGACAAAATCTTTATCATTCGAATCCTCCATGGGTTCGTTTTTACTGCCATTCGAATCTAGAGAATTCTTATATTTTTTAGGTTTACGGCGTCTGGGAGAATCAGTAACATTTTTGGGAACATTCTCGCAATCGTCTTGTTTAAGAAAGATATCCAACTCGTCACTCTGCTCAGAACTGGTTATTTTGGAAAAATTTACAACAGAATCGGAGTCTTTCAATAACTGCGAATTAGACGCTTCGTCGTCCTCCACGTAAGGTTGCAGTTCTCCCTTCGACACCTTCTCCTCCAAGCTCTGTTGTTGCATCATCCCATAGAACGTACGGCTCCTTTCAAAAGTCAGTCTTATCTCAAAGGCAGCTTGCATGTCCACCATACAGGGACGGCAAATGGTTTCAGGAAATGAGTCACCTTTGGCCACGGCATTCTCTGTACATTGTGAAACCACATCGGCCAGTGCAATGCCGCCTGGAGGCAGTGTCTCTTCAAATATATTGACCATGTCCAAGGAGCTTCTCAGGCAAACTCGGCAAAGTGACTCTGCTGGTCTAAATGGTGTAAAGGAAAAGATTAGTGGATTATGAGCAAGTATCTATGTCACACTCACAATGTTGATAGTTTAGTTTTGACGCTGGGGATGTACTCAAGCCTCTCCGCATTCGCCTGGCTTTCAATTTTTTGAGTCGAGCCTTCGTTGAATCGGTGGTCCAAATGGGATTCCATGTGCTTGTGGAGATCATCCGCCCTAGGCAGGAGCATCTGGCAAACGGAACAACTGTACGGCGATTTTGGTGGACTGGCTATCCTTGGGTGCTCTTGCGGGTATCCTTCAAAGATCTTTCTCTTCTTTTTTTTTTGCTTTGGGCCTGTTGGGGAATCGTCTTTGCTATCTTTGAAGCCTCTACTGAGCCAACGCTCGACCCAGCGGGATGACTGTTCGGGGGTCCATCGCTTTTCGGAAATTCTCTTTTCACACTTCGGACCGAAGTGGTTTTCTGTGTGGACTTTTTGTGTTCCAAGTTGTTTGAAAACTGAGCCTCCTGAAAGGAAGCCTCGCGATGCATGGCTGTGATGCTGTTTTTGTCCTTATTCTTCACAGAACATTGAAGGCATCCGTGGCACTTCCAACTTAATTCGCAATCATCTTCGTCCATTGTTTCATTTAAAAATTGGAAGTCCTCAGCCTCATGCTGGTCGAGGGACGCAGGCCACTTTGTTGGCGCTTCTCTTTTTGGGTTTAAGGACCTATGGTTCATTGGCGTCATTGGCGACGCTAACTATACTTCTAATAATTCACAAATCAAAAAATTGTTTTTCTCAATCAGCTGATTGGGTGAATGCACGAGTCACCCGGTAGTAAGGCCGGTACAGCCGATAACCGATAGGTTTTTTTTTGTATCGATTTCCGCCATTATTTAAATCCAATTAAAACGCACCTACTTCTTATTTGATATTTCAACATTAGATTTTAAAACAAAAATTTCTCACAGCCTATCCAACAAAAGAACAATATTTTTTTAATATTATTTTCTCACTGTTTTTGAGTTTTTATTTTCGGTTTTAATTTCATTTAAACATTTTCTATAGTTACTAAAATTACTTATTTAATGTTTATTATTAATATTAGTTAAATATTATTGAAAATACATTAGTTGTTTTACGAAACAATTTATAAACATCCTTGGTACCTTTTCTTTCCCTCCCCTCCTACCTCCTACTCGGATCATTCCTTTCCTTTTTTAATGCATTTCGGAAATTTTTAAAACTAGCAAATAAGTCTAAATTTAGTTACAGTTTCTCTTTCTTACTTATACAAGGTTCCCTTTTGCAATTATTTATTTTTTTTTTCTGCCATAGGATTTACGAACTTAAACGTATATGGTTTTTTGTTGTCATTCGATCGGCCGTGGTGGCCCAGTGCGTGGTCAGGACGATCCTACTTCCTAGGCTCCACTTCCCACGTAATACACACTTTGAATGTTTATGGTTTTTATTTACAATTTTACTTTTAGTGAAGTTCCCTACTTGATGCGAAGTAACGTTATCATAATCTTTGTTTCGTGGCAAAAACTATTGTTAAAACTTTTCAAGTGAGTGAGCATTTGTTTATCGAATTTCGAATCGAGTTTTTCAAAAACGCAACAACAGAGGTGTACTTTACATAACAAAATTCCAACTGAGCCGGAGAGCCAGAGCAACATCATCTCCCAGAAGCCAACGGCTTACAGACTATTTTTGGCACCGAATCAAACAGATAAAACTAAACACACATAATACAAGTAAGTTGGGTGAGAGTAGAATACTAAAACAAATCAAACAATTGCACATAACCCAGAGTCCAACAGTCCAACGATCCTAGCTCGTACAGAAAATCATTTTTTAACTTAAAACAAAAGAGTTAACAACCAGTATCCTTTATGAGGCACAGCTCATCGGATATTGTGGCCGAATATACTTTAATTTCTTTACAATATATTTTTAAAGTGTTTACAAAGTAAGACTAGGAGACTGGGAAGCTGGACTGAACTCCCTGCAACTTTAAATCACTGCATGCGAGGCCGGGGACGTGGAGCCAGTCACTTTTTGGAGCATTTGCATAAGCTGCTCGGTGGCCGACTGATTGTTCGGCAGCATTCCTACTCCCACCCCCAAGCCCACGAAACCAGCACCAGCCCCTCCACCCACAGCTCCGCCGCCTCCCCCACCCGACGGCGGGGAGGAGATCGATGTGGCCGCCGAGGCCGATGAGGACAGAGATGATGGGGTCAGCGCCAGTTTGGATTCTGGGAGCAACAAAAGAAGCTGGATTAGATTCGGTTCGATTGTCTACGGACTGCCCTGCATACTGTCATCGCTCTCCAGGTACGTGACGTACGAGTCGGTGCTATCCGGGTGGTTGCTGAGGTGCGAGTGCGACGTGATCCCGGAGTCCAGGCTGCTACCCTGCCCCGGCTGCCCTCCTGGCTGCTGGTTCGAGTTCTGGTGATTGTGCGGTCCGCCGGGAGGCGGTGGGTGCTGATGCGGCGGACCCTGCGCCGAGTGCGATTGCGGGTGTGGCGGGAGCACGGGCATTCCGTTCAGGTCGTACCCGTGCATCTGCGAATAAAAAACCAGCGTTTTATAATATTATCGGTTGCACTTAAAAATGTGCGATGAGGAACAGTCTGGGAAGCTTAGACCTAGTCCAAGAGGTCCAATGTAGAGCTAGTGTGGATCCTCACCTGATTGACCAGTTGCTGAAAGGCTGGCGTGTGCGTGTTGATCGCGCCGTTACTGTCTAGATCGGCGTGCAGGGCGAAGTCGCTTAAGGCTTTCCACGGCGGTTGATATGTCTGCACGTCCAGACCCTGCAGGTTCAGTGGTGAGTCGTGTCGGACCGGGGAGCTGGCGATCATGGGGATGCCCTGCATGGCGCCGTAGCCCAGCTTGCGACCCTCCTACGAGAACGGGGAATTAGTTACTGACCAATCAGTGACTGGCTGAGAGTCGCCATCGTTACCTTCTCCTGCTGCATCTGCAGCTTCATCTGGATGGTCTTCTTCTTGTCCTTGCAGCGCTTGTTCTGGAACCACACGCGGATGACTCGGGGCGACAGGCCCGTCATCTCCACCAGCTGCTCCTTCATGAGGGCGTCAGGTCGCGGATTAGCGTTGTAGCAGGTTCTAAAAGGAAGAGCTCCTTAGTATTTAAAGTTATTATGATTATCCAATGATCTCACCTGAGCGTATGCAGCTGTTTCTCGTTGAGCACGGTCCGAACTCTTGTGGGCTTGCCATCCGAGGGACCCGAGGGCCTCTTCTCCCTAATACTTTTGTGTGAGCCCGATTCGCTTCCAGAATCTGCAGGGAGAAAGACCAGAAGATACTAGATCAGTTCGGTGTGCAGTTTTTTGCGTTTTTGCCAAAGAATCAGCCTTTGAAGTGCCGGCCTACAGATTGCTCTCTTGCTTTCGGTTTTCTGCTTCTATTTTTGACAACAATTGCACCCAAATATCGCCAAATGCGAACAATTCGGCACTGATAGATCAAAGAGCCCAGGGCGCACGCGCTCCCCGAAGACTGGCATCCGAAACCTTGGTAATTAAGTCGTGTTTCACAACCCCCGGAACACGTCGTTATCTAGTTCTTCGATCGCACAGATCGATCGCGATGTCTATCGGGAGGCGGCGTGTCTGCTTTGAAGGAATTTACCTCGGCACTCACAGATGGCCGCCCAAATTGGCAAGCAAAGTTTTGGAGCTCATTCATAGGTTTCCCACTGGCCACCCCAAAAAGAGACATCTTTTCTGCCAGTGCTGGGACTTCAAAGAGAGACGTCCGCCTGCGATTTCGCAAACACTTGACCAGACTGCATGCCGTTTTCAAGTAGAACACAAACAAACAATCCGGCAAGTGGATCTATGAATGGCGTGCCAGCCGACAGACTGATTGATCATACGACCCGTCAGATCCACCGATCCGCCGATCTGGCGATCCAACAATCCGACGATACCTCGATCGAAGCCAGTCAAACAAAAATCCAATTCCCAAGAAGTTGCTTGTCAATGTTTGCCCGCTTGAACGCTTCGATGCACTGGGGAGTTTTTGTTTGCCCTGGCAGCTATATTTTTTGTTTCTCGGAGGAATCCTTTCCCGAGCTGGTGGAGGGAGTAAGGGGGAACCGCCACACACGTTTGGCATCCAGCGTTTGACATCGCCGCCCCATGTTGATAAGGTTGCCTTTTTCCATTTTTATTTTTCACTCTTCTCCGTTCTGGTTAAACAATGAGATTATGTTGACGATATGGTTGACAATTGTCGTACATTGTTTGACGTTTGCCGATTTCTATTGACACTCCTCTATCGGTTACAAGGATGTAACGCTGTTTTTCCAAGAACAAAACACGGGCGCAGAGCTTTTGTGCGATGCCGAACTATTTGCCCGCAACGGGTCCCGGTTTCCATTCACAGAACCAGACCAATTTGGGCTAATTAGGATTGGCAATCTGCGCGATGGGGAACGAGAGCTCCAGGTTGACTTTTCTCTAGTGGAATTCAAAGCGAAAAACACATCGGAAGTGCCGCCGAATGTGGGACAATAGCCAGTGAGTTACAGCTCTTGCTCATTTTGAAAATTAAGTTGCTAACTTGGCGGAAAATAAATACGAGCAGTATAGTAAGCTGCGGAGACAAAAGGCAACTTCTTGCACTGCAAATACAAATATTAAGTTACTCCCTGCTATAATTATATTGATGAATGGGTCCCAATATTTGGTTTCACTGTCAACTCAGAAACCAAACAAACGATAGACCCTCCACACAAAAGGGTCATCCCCAACTGAAGGGTTGATTTGTTGCAGATAAACAACCTCCAGCCCTTTCATTTGCACCCCAAGGAAGCCATCCCCAAGTGCCACAGCAAACTCCACCGGCTGAAGCACCCTCGACGCGTGAAATCAAGAGCCCCAAATCCGCACTCACCTGACATTGAACCCAGTTCGCTGGAATGGTTGTTATTGCTAAGGTTGGTGTTGTTGTTGTTACTACTGCTAATATTGTTGTTGCTCTCCACCGAAGACGAGGTTAGGCTGCTCTGCGACGATTTCTCCAGCACATCATGATCCTCCTTGCAGTACAAAGCCCCGGCATCGCGTAACGCGAATTCATCACCTAAAATTCCAGGTAAACATTAGTTATTTGCCCACTGAGCGGGGGGTACTTGGAAGGGGGCGGAGGGCCGGCAATAAACACTCACCTGGCAGCAGTTGACGGGCACATGCCGAGCAGCGAAAGCACTCGATGTGAAAGATTTTCGTTTTGGCCCGCATCACAAAATCGTTTTTGCTGAAGGAGTTGCCGCATTTATCACATTTTGTACCAAATAATCTGAAATAAGATTTTAATTAGTTTTTAAGCTATTTAAAATTCTATAAGTATTGTAGGTACAATACAATAAATAGTTTTTATATTTCGTACAATAGGAACTTGTATGGTTCTATAAAGACAACAGATCCTTATCTTTCAGGGACCTTAGGTTCTTAAGTACTCTTGGAAGCCATCCATCTTGCTCTTGTTTAGACCTTTTATAGGATTATATAGATGCCTTTTTGAATATGCTATCCTGCAAACGCATCTCAGTAATCGGCTGCATCCACCGCCCAGATGCCAATAGTTTCTTAGATTAGGAATTAATACTCAAGATTCCAAGCTGTTTGTACAAAGGTCTTGGTAGGAAAGTATTGGGGCCAGTGTGATTAGATCGTTAAAAACAGCCAAATTCCCACGTATTCAAAAGTTGTTTACGTTTTAAAAGCCCGTACTGGAAAAGAACTGGGGGTGGGTGTGTATTTTAAAAGTCCTTGGGGAAAGTGATGGGTAACAGGTGCAAACAGTGCCATTCTAACACCTTTTTACGGAAAACCAAGTACCTTTTTCAAAGAAAGGGTCAAAAAGGATGCAAGGGCGAATTGCATGACAATTATAAGAAAATGATTCTTTTTGATCGACTAATAAAATAAATCTTGGCTTATGTTTGTCAACTGCAAGTATGTGTCTCCAATCGAGCCTCTATTTTTTGTGAGCCGGCCTATGTATGGGATTGGAGCCCCATTGCGGTAGAATATTTACATATATTTTTTGTGTTTATATAGTTGTTTATTTTAATTAATTGTAAGTATATTAACTGATTTGAAATGTGTCCGAAATGTGTCTGAATGTATTCAGAAGAACGAATCTAAATGCCCATCTAGACGCCCCGAAAACCCTGAAAGGTCCCATGATTATGGCTTGTAAATACTTGCGAGGGGTGGGAGCTTGTTTATGGCCATAAAATAAAATTCTTTTGTCAGCACCGACGTCGATGACTGAGCCGCATATTCATCAATCATGCAGCATCCCGGAGTCCCAGAGAGTGAGTGTGAGGGGGAAAAGTGTTAATTTATAGCTTTGCACGTGTTAATCAATTATTCAAAGATTTGCATGGCAAATAGTTGCGACTTTGGTTGTTGGTCGCCGGCCACCGGACACCGGCCACCGGCCGCCGGCTTTATGATGGCAAAACAAAAAAGGCCCAAACACGGCTTTTATTGCACGTCATACATTTAGCGATGATGAAACCCCCAGAGCAGCGAGAAGCCGCCGGACTGGACCTGGACCTGGACCAGCTGTTGATTAGAACTTGCTGCCCAGTCGCATGTGTGTTTGGCATCACAGGGCTAATTGGCTGGGCTAACAAGGCCGGCTAACAAAAGTCGGAATCAGAAGAAATAGGAACGCTGGCGGACGCTACAGTTGGAACTACACCGAAAGGCCAGGCGCATGACAGGGAGTGTGTGCCTAGGGCTGAGCAAATAGACCTCGAATCGGTTCGGTCGAGTACAAATTAGATAACCCGCCGGAGCAGCTTCGGCTGCAGTGGAATGAAGATGATCCGTTGGCATGACGAGGAACTGGGCACTCACCTAACATAATCACGCTTGCAGTAGGTCTTCCCGTCGCGGACGAAGCACGTGCAGCTCTCGTCCAGGAACTGCCTGCACTCCTGGCACTTTAGACACGCTGCATGCCACTCGAGATCGGGAGCCACGCGCAGGATGTACTGGTCGTGGATCTGGCCACCACAGCCCACGCAGTGCGACAGTCGTTGTTTTTCTGGAAGGGAGAGTCTTTTGTTAATATCATTACATAATAGTACTAGATGCTAGTTTAGAACCTATTTTAAAGCTAAGAGACTGTGTAACTTCCGTCGGCAACTTCTGCCTTGACTTTGCCAGCTCGGCGTTTGTTTTTGCTTGAGTTTTTGGCAAGAACTTGAATTAATTTCGCCAATTATGCCTTTGGAGAGTAAACAAATAGAAAGTGAGACGGCAGAGACTGCGCTAATTAACAAACTGTTATCAAATAATCCGAGTTCCCCTGTTTACCCAAGTGCCGTTCGCCGTTCGCCGTCCTTTGGACTGGAATGGCAAAAGTTTTTCTGCCAAAAAGTTTTTCCTCTTCGGGCCGGGTCTTTTGAGTTTTCTCGGGGAAAAAACATTTGAAAAATTCATAAATCCTGGCCTGGCCCAGCCAAGCGCACGGCGAACGCAGCCACCATTTTCAAGTATTTAAGTTGGAGCCCCCAGCCCGCGTCCGCGCCAGGAATGGAGGGAAAAATCAATGCAATCATTGCCACATTATGTACAGGACCCACCACACCCGCCCAGCCCATCGGTAAATATGTGCTGCTGTGCTGTAATCCTTGGCAGGGCGCAGGGGGAGGTCCTCTGGTCCTGCTCCTGCTCCTGCTCTTGGTCCTGTTGAAAAATTAAGAAAAAGTTTGACGCGCGTTTAGCACGTTTTAAATGTTTCGTTGCCCCAGCTTCCCCCCACACACACACACACTGGTACTGGCACACACTGTGGCAGAAACACATACACCCATACTGAGACAAAATCTGTATCTGTTGCCTTGTATCTTTGTATCTTTAAACGTGGCCGCGTATCTGAATGCTGGTTTGTGTGTGGGTTTTTTTTGGGGAGTGGTTTGGGGCGGGAAGAGGGCGGCTGAAGTGGCAGGGCGGGGAAGGGGAAGGGGAGTTGGGGCAGCGGGCAGGGACTCGGGGTGTGTATGTATCTGCGTATCTTTCGCACTCCCTGTAGCTACACATGAATTATTTATAAAGGCGGAGCAGACAAGTTGCTGCTGCCGTTGTCCGATACAATTGTTGTTGTCGTTGTTCTTCTGTGTATTCTTTCCTTCTTCTTCTTTTTTTTTAGCCGATTTTTCGGTTTTGCGTTTTTTTCGTTCTTGTGGGTTACCCTGAGAAGTGGGTATATGCCTTGGAATGGGTACTATCGGAACTGAGAATGAGCCTTTAATTATGAGTTTGTAATAAACTTGTTCTTCTATTGAGACCTAAAGAGACCCATTGATAGAGTGAGTTCTCCTATATAGTCCCTACCCTTTCTCATTAAGAGGTAGTGTATCTTAAAGCCGTCTAAGCCCGCCACAAGGAAAGCTTCCGTACTTGGCTTATGTGTATTTGTTGCTCTTTACGCCGAAAGTGCTTGGGACTTGGAACGCAGACAGGCGGACGGACGGACGGATGGCCGGGAGGACGTCCTGACAGCTGGGTGGAATGGAAGATTGACAAACGGACGGACAGCCGGCATTTACTTCCATGTTTCAGCCTCCAATTGCTGCGGCTGTTTATTCTTTCTTGCTGCCATTTCTGCTCAGCCTTGGCTGGGGGGCATGTGCGGCCTTTTATTTATTTTTTCCTCTAAAAGGTTCGTATATAAAGCTACCCTACACGGCCATTTGTGGCAGGCCATGTGTGTGTGTGTGCTTGGGACCTCCATTTTGGCGGATTGTTGCTCGGAAGCCCCTGTTCTTGCTGGCCTTTCCTTAATATTTCCCCACTTCTTGGGTTTTTGATAAATTTCTGACGCTATTCCGGGTGGGTGTATGGTTGCTGGGATCTGTGTGGTCCTGGTCCTGACTCCCGTGCCTTGTGGACGGACGGCGATTGGAGTTGCTTTTGTTGCCTTAATGATCCTGCGCAGTTCGTTTCATTTTTCTTTTGCCACCCAGCCGCCAAGTCACCCACACAACCACACAGACATGGCAACACAAACAGAAACAGACCCATAGATAGGCACACGCACACACACTGCCGCAGCCATTATGGCTGTAATGGGAATTTAAGCACAGCTCCTGCTCCTGCTCCACCTCCTCCTCCTGCTCCTGGCCCGCTCCTGGTCCTGCGCCTGTGTGCTGCGTTTTCGTTTCGGGGGTTTTCCGCTTTTGTGGCGTATCTTTTGCATGTTGTGTTGCCATTTTGTAGCCTCCCCCGTGGCCCACTCACTGCCCACCCGCCACGGCCTGTCCTGGCCTGGCCCACTCCGCCCCATTTCCTCGTTCTGGGGTTGTCGCGTCGTATTTTTTGTTTCCGTGTGTGTTTCCTTTTTTTTTTTTCTGCGGCACACATTGGACCAAAATGCAATTTTGTCTCGTGTTGTCGTCTATGAATTTTTCGACTGTGTCGGCGGTTTTACTTGGCGAACAGAAAGGGGGCCAGCGGGGCATGGGGCTGCGGCTACTGCGGCTTTTTCACTTTTCCCGTGGAAAACGCTTCCCGAGCTGCGTGTTTCCCATTTTCGCCTGTCACTTGGCTTCAGTATCATTCCTACTTTTTTTCGGAGTTCTGTTGAAGCAAAACACCATATATTTTTCATTAAACAGGCAGCGATTTTCTATAAAAACGGCGAGGTTAGTCGCACCCCGACCCCACTCACGTTTTTAAAGCCGCACCTTCCGAGTGGCCGCTGCTCTTGACCTCCGCAACCTTTCCTCTGCGACTCGGCTGCCATGATGTAATGGCATAGCATTATAATAGCACACATTCTCTGTTTAGTCCACTGGTACAGACTCTAAGAGGAGCTTACTTTTATCTGCTAACACTAGTGCCCAGTTGCTAGCTCGTGTTCCTGATGGACAGATAGACGTCCTGGCTCTAATTTAGACTTGATCCGCTCCTGTCCAGCGATAGCCCAGCAATAAACATATCAAGGGATATGTGCCAAGTAACGCCCACTGGAGAACCCCTCCTGCAAGCCTGGCTTGCCATCTCTTTCCCGGCTCGGTGCTCCTCGTTGGACCCCTTATCAGAGGCGGCAATCTCTCAAAGGCCCGCAGGGGCGACCCGAGACGGGGGAACACGTAAAATTGCAGTCAAATCAACGTGGCTACTCCACAGATACTCCGACACACACGGGCTCACCGACACTCGGGCTCGGATGCAATGGCTGCCCAGCATCCTCTCCCATCCAACAGTTGCTCGACAAGGGGCAACATGCAAAATGCAAAGCATCGATAAGATACGTTCGCCCGGCCTCCTGGCGGAGTGGCCGGCCAGCCGGCGGGAAGGCGAAAGAAATTATGGAAGCTTCGCCGGATATGGGCACGATTTCAAAAGCAACTACTGTTTGTGTCTCCGCGCCGGGGGACCAAGGGCACCCTTTGATTTATGGCATATTTGTCGAAAAGAAATACAAAGCGCAGCCACAGAGTACTGGCTATCGGTGGGGTAGCAAGTGTCGCTTCTTTTCGGCTCTAACTAGGAATTTCACATGCCCATAAAGCAAACTATGCACTGAGAGAAGAGATTTTACAAATAGTAGTCTACCAGAGCTACAGCACGTGACGCATCTCCTGGAAGCTGGGACTGAGGTTCATTCAGCTTTACCTGTGGAGCGATTTAAAAAATTAATGATGACAGGCAGCGAGGACGAACTTCGGAACACGTGCCCCTGGCTCGTTCCTCATCTTTCCATTTTTGTCTTTTTTGGGCATCCTCTCGACCGGACAATTCGAATTCACATTTTGACAGACTCATCAATTTTGTAGATACGAAGGCAGGAGCAGGCCAGGGCGGCGGAGGGCCGGGCTCTGGCCACTGATTAGGCCATGTTTTGTGGGGCTGGCCATTGTCTTTTCGGTGTGTGGGTTGGGGCTTGCAACTTCAAAGGAAGTTCTGCGGTCTATGATTTGTTTGTCCTCGAGACTTGATACCTCCGCCTGCGGTTGCAGTTTAGGGACTTTGACTTGGACGGAGTTGGCTTAATTGAATGCATCGGATTGGGCTGTTGCTTTGGCAATAGACGGAGTAATCTACGATAGGATGAGTTACTAAGTTGGTCTATTTAGTTAGAGGTCTGGTTCGTGTCACGCAGTCATCTCCGTCCGATCTGATGCGTAGTCGTGTAACTCCGCAGCGGAGCCAATAACTGATCAATGCAAACTGACTCTTCTCAAATATGTATAAAAACCAACAATGAGCAGGAGGGGGCAGGAGACACATAACACACAACACACCATACACCACAAAAGAAGCCGCCGAAGGCAATCACTTTGAAGTGTTTGATTTTCGAATTGGCCGTCGCAGCTAACCGGCGGTTGTTGCTGTTATTGGTGGTGGTGTTGGCTGTCGTTTTATTGAAGCCAAATTTGAATACCCGACAAGGGGAGATGCCATCGACTGTGGCTGCTGGATGCTGGCTGCTGAAGGCGCGACATCAAAGAGTGCCTGACTCAAAATGGACATGGGCCTGCAACAATTTATGCCACATCCACGCGGACACGCGGACACTCGGACAGGGGCCGGCTGAAGAGAGGGACGGCTATGTTGTGTTGCTGTTGCTGCTGTGTGCTGTTGCATGTTGCAAGCAGGCCCGAAGAACGGAAATGACCTTTTTTGTGTGTCGGCGGCTGAAAACAAAATGCCGATGTGCCATCGCCGGACAAGGTATGGTTGCTGCACACTTGGAGAAAAACTGGGCGACTTTGTAAAAGTACAGTGCGTGATAAAGCTACTTCTAGACATTCAGGGATTAATAGTTCTAATAATAAATCAGTATATGTATTAACAATAAAGCTTAAGACCCATTGCTGTCTCAAGTCCCAAATACGTTTCTCGGACTGTAGATTCTCTCCTGCTTGCCCCTCTGCTGCTGCATGTCGCCGACAGATGACAAGAACCGATAGTGTCTTTTTTATTTGAGGCCCGACTGCAGCCAGAAGAACCCAGAGTCTGGTCCGCAGCATCAGCATCAGAATCAGCCTCGGCCGTTCTTTGGGCCCAGTTAAGTGATGATCATGATGGGTTATT